ACATAAGCACCTCAAGGTTCTGATCTTAGATGTCCATTAAGTGCCTACTTTACAGCATTTGGCAAATATTCATTTTGGGTGAGGTCCGAATGGGACTTTTTTTCCTAAGCCTCTCTTTTCCCTTTGAGAATGGGGGCTTCTGTCTCTATCCACGGGAGTTTCAGGTAAAGGTACCGCTAATTTCTGCTCATTTCGCATGCTGGAAGATCTAGGTTACGGTGTAGCAACTCCCTACATTTTTGGATAGGAGGTCGAGAAATGGGGGATCCTGTCATTCCAATCCCTGCCGCTAGGTGGAAATATTGGGCAGGGCTCTTGACAGGTGTGTCCCCCGTGCAATTCAGCTTTGTGTCTGGGCAGAGGGAAGACTGTGTCGCATGCTTTAACGCAACAGCCTCTACCTACACATTGCAATTGGATCTGCGTCTTTATTTGTGATCAACTCAATGCTAGCTCCCCGATACACTGTCCCGACTTGGTCATATCTGAAAGAGGTTTTAAATTATGGGAAATAGCTCATCAAAAAACTGAGCCTTCCCTTGGGGGACAGCACCCTTTCCACCAGCTACATTTACGGATGACATCTACAGAATTTTATCTTGAATGTACCTTGGAAAATGGGCCCATATAACTCGAGGTGATCTTAAAATCATAATGGCCAAACATAAATCCTTTAAAATAAATTGGTTATGTTAAAAGAAAGCTTTCTAGAGAATGCTTGGCTTAAACAGCTGTCTTATAGGTACCTATGAAAAAAAAACATATATAATAACTAGCCTAAAAATAAAAAGTCCCTTGAAAAGATTTTTTAAACTATATTTAAAACAAAGCTAGAATCCTTCGTATGTTCAAATTGCCTGCTTTAGATCTCCTGCAAGACTTGCAAAACTGGTGCTTCAGCCTTTGAACTGATGTTAAGATTCCATATTTCCACCCAGACGGCCCAGGATGGATTACCAATCAAGGAATCAGTCCCTTAGAGACATACAAGTGAAACCGTTTGGAAAACAAAACAGACTTTTAAACAGAGATCAGATTTAAAAGAGTCGAAGTTCTTTAGACCCACCACAACATTTTTTTTTAACTCAGGAAAGAAATATTTTTGAAAATTAATTTAATTTACTGTTTAAAATTATGGCTCTTAACCTTCTGTCGTATACATTTGTGGTCCTTCTACCACCCTCACCCCTCGCCAACAGCTTTTGATTTCCTGCTTATTTTACTTACTGATGCTTTTGATTTTCTGTCTATAGGGGCACACGGGAACTTTGAGTACAGACTATCAGCTAAGAAGCTGAGACCCTAGAAAATGTGGCTGAATAAAAATGTGGGTTACATCCATTTTCAGCCAATGAAACATAAGTTTTCCTCTTTAAGCTGTCATTGAAAAAAGTCAGGATTGTGGAAGGATACAAAAATTCTTATTTGTTTTGGGTTTTTACAGAGATATCACTAGTTTAAAATTTTCGGTTATGATATGTTAGAAACGTCTGTTGTTTAATTTCTCTCCTGAACTAAATGAATAGGTACGTTTGAGGCTGGTATGTTGACTGTTCCCAGCTCACAAGGCGTGGTCTTTGGAGTGACACTGGATCCTGAGAGGGCTTTTTTTTTTTTTTACCTCTTTGGTTTTGTTTGAATCATTCAAAGGCCAAAAATACTTGCTATTTGTTCCAGCTAAAATCTGATAATAGTAAATTTGAAAAAAAAAATTAGAGCTCTGAGATCAAATTTGGCTTACCCGAAAGCTGATAATTCAAGCTGTGTTTATTTTTGGAAACCTCTCTTTCTCTCCACTGGATTTTTGCTTCCTCTGGGGGAACTTACCA